AGCATTCAGTAGGTCATTTAGCTTTACATAGGCTTTAGTGAACGCGTCGCCGGCGACATAGAGGATGACAGAGTCGTATTCGCTCATTACCTCCCTCCTACTTCCCCTTCCAGACACTTCCAAGCATTCATGTCTCTCCAATGTCGTGCCACCCACAATGCCCACATATCGCTCCAAACGGGGTGAAAAGTTGGACACACTTGACGTCACATCCAATTGGAGACGGGTTGAGGGGGCAAACTGCAGCACAGGTGCATCACACAGGTAGCGTGTCATCCTGCATTGCATCAGATTTTTGTAGTCATAAGGAGTGGTGATAATGCAGCGTATCCTCTGTTCAATGTCAATCGCAAATTTAGTCGTCTCAAGCTCGCGATAGAACTTCTCTTCACCACGGTAATGCTTGATTGCCGAATCAATATTGGCAGGGTTGATTACCAAAGATTCATTAAAAAGCATCGTACAGATGTTCCAATACACCCATTTCATGCTCATCAAGTCCTCCCAAGTGTTTTGAGCCGCATCGGATGCATCATGGTCCAGTCGCGAATCACTTCCTCCTTCCTAGAACACATGAATGTGGAGTTGAGTGCAGTGCGATAAAGACACTAGCCGCAAGCATGCTTAGGGGGCTCTCGATAATTACGGTGTCAGTTAGACCTACTGAGTGTGCCATAGCGCTAGTCTCGTGAGTCCGCTCGAGTGAGGTTAATTTCCCTTGACGGGAAGTCGCTGAACACAATTAAACATCAGTCTGACCTGACCAATCAGCGAAATGTGCAAGCTGTTGGAGAAGTGCAGGTAGAGATCAAAATTGTTTGCAAGGCCACGTAAAGATGGTTGAGAGGCAAAAGCAAAGATGATTTGATTGCCAGCAAATGTGTGCCCTCAAGGGTGAGTGGTGTGGGCATGTGGGTGGATCGCACGCTGAAGGGTCCTGCAGTGTGTGATGCAGCAACTGCTTATTGGAAAGGATATAGTAGTGGTGCTACGGTGCTAAAGGCGTAGGAGACTGTGAACAGACACAGAGGATGTGGAGCACAGCTAGAAGGCAGTCAAACTAGCCAACGTTGTGGGTTGTGGCACACTGCCAACCATTCAGCAAATCAAAGTATGCACTGATCTCCTCCGGATAAACCTCTGGAGAGCGATCCATGTTTATGTGGCGTTCCATCGCAACTGCGAGGACCGGTGGGTATTTCGACACATTCACTTGTGTATGGACATTAGAACTAGGCACAGGTACACGAAGTCAAAGGGTCAACCGCCTTTTCTCCCATACCAATGCAGCCAAGCAGTTCACTGAGTAGCGTGTAATTCACAGACCCTTCCATAGGTAAGTGCTTCAGCTCAGTGTCAGTACATCTAACCATTACTCCCAATGAGTTGTTGAGAGTAAGTTTGACGCTCATCATGATGAGCATGAACACTCCTAAGGTAGCATTCATGCAATTGTGTAATCCCTTCCAAGAGCAGCTGCCCTCTTTGGAAGGTCATACCACTACTGCTGCTGCTGCTGTTGGAAGGGCAGATTCCGTCAAAGGCTTACTGTTGGTTCCTAAGAGCAGCAGTGTTTGAAAAAGTGGAAACGCAAAAGCGATGCACCTGTCCTGCTTAGTTTGACGATATTTGGAAACCATTTTTTCGCCTCTCTTTCTCCTTCTCCACCCCATCGTTTGTCCAGAAGGAGGTAAAGTGATTTCCCTTGCCAACAGTTGTCCCTGCCACACACGCTCCGACAGTTTGTACAATGGAAATGTTGGAGTTACGTTGTCCAACATTGGCACACTGATGACTACAAAATCCCACTCAGAAGACACATTTACTCTACTTCCCAAGGCTTTTCTAAACTGACGAAATCGTCGTCGAACAAATTTACAGCATTAATGCCCAAACTGGCACGGATTTTGTGCGAAGTCAGTGGGGAAGGTGAACAAAAGGACTGATGTCAGACTGAGCTAATGGCATGAATCAACTGGCCAGAGGAGCTTGTGTATGCCTTAACGAAGGCATGCGTCAGTGTGAATAAGGTGATGCTCTAGACATTTCATGTGACTTATCTCGAAATGCGAACATTTTAACCGTCGAAGTAGTGTGAGTAGCTTGGCAAGGCTCGGCTCAGAAGAAGGTGAAGAAGAAGACAAATGCACTTTTGGCAGTACAAAGAGGAGTTTGAAATTGTAGATGTGCAGTTTTGCTGAAGCCCTCTCATGTGCCTGAAACGCAGACACAACATTACTTACTCCATAAAGTATGCTTTAATAGCAGAGTAGGGTTCCAATTCCTTCCGACTGTCGATATGGCCTGAGGTTATCCAGGTGGCAATACTGTCGAGGTAGAGTGAGTTGGCTTCAAAGTCGCGCTAGCAGTTTCCAGTCCATTTGCGTTTGTTGAATATGCCTATTCGACTCACGTGCAATGCCTTCGCTCACCCACACAGAAGTGATATGTCGTCCTCTGCACTGATGTCTGCGAGGATTGAGACGCACCACAAAACCGCCTTCCACTCCAATGCCCCTGTTCGCGGTCAACCCTATCGATGTGAATGAATTGCACATGCTACGGATGGGAAAAACCAACTCCCTACCGAGGAAGAGTGAGTGATGACGTTCGTTTTTGGCATTTACGTCTGTCCCATGTACCGTGGCGAAGCCAGTAGAGCAGAAGCATCACTCCGTGTGGAGGATATGGCAGAGAGTTAGTTCGCCATTATGCATCTCGGCTACATTTAGTTATCGGCAATCCCTGCCTACTCGCAGTCCTCCTATTGGTAATACGTTTATTTGGATTCGTCCAACAGAATCGAAAGCACTCCAGGCGAAGTTGAACCTCTCCGGACGGGTCGCTGTTGTTGGGTTGAGTTGAAGTGCATGTCCTCAGTCTCATGGGGGTTGAACAAGAAGGAGCAGAATCACATTGGTCCCAATTACACAACCACATTCCAGGAAGTCGAGGTTGACTGGGCGGCGAGTTAAGCAAAACAGGGTATCACATCAGTTG